CGAAAGATTGCCTAATTTGTAATTCTTGTTGTGCGGTTATTTCTCGTTTTCTTCAACTTTGGGTGATATATGAATACTGGCAAGTGGTCACTTCCTCTTGTATCAGCGTCTGCAGTCCAGTCTGCTCCAGCCGCTAATTCAGAGGAGCACACAGTGATGTCTAGTACGCTGCAGTAGTTATGCCCCCGTAGAAACGTCGGAGAACCATCATTTAGTATAGTGTAACCATAATCTTCGCGTATTTTTACTATAGCAGGTCCCCTTACACTACAACACTCACTACCCCACAATTCATGGTGCGCGTTAAAATCACCACATATAATAATGGGATCACGGTCAGATCTACACACTGCAGCCAACTCTGCGTATGAAACGTTTGCTCGAGGGTGCACGTAAACACTAACTACAGTTACAGTAACGTTACCAAACTTCACCTTGCATCTAACAAATTCCGGCGCATTTGTTTTTGAAGTAGCCATAAGTGTCGACGGAATATCGCGTCTCACACACAACATCACTCTGCTTTTTGCAGCAGGACGTTCTGCTTGGTACACCACATAATTGGACAAGCGAAAGTTAGCGGATACTCTTGTTTTGGAAATACACAAAATCGGAAACCCGTGCTGAGCGACGAATTTCCGAAAATCTCCACTCTTATTCTGCAAACCGTTGCAGTTCCACTGGAATATTGCACTTCTTTTGTACCAGTTAGCTAGTCCGGTAGCCATGATTACGACAAGAGAAGATGCTCAACATCTAGCAGCAATTTCACTTCTGGTAAAGAACCTGCTTGTGGCAGGGATCGTAGAATTGCTTTAAGAGCCACAAAGATTATTGGCAAAATGACTTGCTCATTTGCGGCTGTCTCCGCCGAGATCGCATTTCTTGAAGAATTTTTCCTCAGCAAGCTGCTGTGACCCTTCCCTTTGGTATTCAGTGGCTCCTTGGCTGTGTCTGGCCCGGCAGAAAGTTCTACTTCAGCATGTCCCTGGGCCCGGACTTCTTTGCCAACGCGATGTTTTGGTGCTGAGCGCTTCAATACTTCCGAGTAAGAGTCGTGGCGCCACTGTTTTGCATTTCTTTGTGCCACAGGAACATCTTCGACTATATCCGCATTGGGTGCTGGACCTCTTTGTATCTTATGGTACCCTTTTACAATTCTCTCTCTTTGTGCCGCTGATGCCAAACGGTTTCGAGAGCAGCCTGAGAACGATGCCGGATGTGGTCCAGCACAGTTGGCACACTTAGGTTGACGCTTCGAGGTGCATTCTTTGTAATCATCTGCGCCCGCACATACCTTGCATCTCTTGGTTCCCCTGCAAGTCTTAGCCTTATGCCCGTATCTCTGGCAGTTGTAACACCTTATCGCCGGCTCAATGTATTCCTCGACAGTGTGAACCGTAAAGCCGAGAGCAACTCTTTTTGGCAATGGCATGTCATGTCTAAACTGGAGTATTACATTACGTATGGGCTGCATTGTGGCACTTCCATCTTCATTTCTTGCCCATCTCTTTTGTCGTGTGACTGAGATTACTCCAGCATCTTTAAGATATTCCAGTAGGTCATAATCACTGTATTCGAGTGGAACATCTCTTATCTTTACTAGGGTCTTCATGTAAGACTGAGGTATCATCACATGTACAGGCAATCCAGCCAGACTCTTGATCAGTAGCAACTTGTTTGCCGAGTACAAAGACCGTACTGCAACACAAAAACTTCCGTCTCTGTTGATTCTTGATGATGTCACTTTCTCATTGATGGCAGAGATTATCTCAGATGCCATGCGATTGGGATTCACCTTCCAGAAGGAGTCCTCGGCAGCGATTGTTCTGAACACCACCGGTATCCCCGTAGCTCGGTTCTTGTGATGGGTGACCACTGTGTAAGCTCCCTCGTCTTCCTTGGATGCTTCTGTATCCATCTGTATCATGTCATTAAGGGAGTACGTCGATGTAGCGTCATCGTTGTCAACTTTTCTTCCTCCTCTGTACGCCTCTTCTTACACTGCGAGGCCTCGCTGTTGTCTGTATGGGACGTCGATATTGTTGCTGAGCCTGCAGCGACTTGAAGCCGAGCGGGATGTATAAGTGGTGCTCCGCTCGGCGTTAGCGGCATCTCGTTGTCCCCCATACCCGGGCTTTGCCAGGTATGAGGCACGGGCCCGCTAAGGGGCAATTCTGATCGCGATGCGTAGTGAAACTCCGACTCACCGATGTTTAGCTGCCACTCTGGAGACAGTCCACCCACCGCACACACTGTAAAAAGATCCCGAACTCAATATGATAACTGAATTAAGAGAGCGAAATGAAGCTACGGGCTTCTTCCATTCACTTCTTCTTCCTCTCCCAAACGTTCTGTTTATGTGCATCTTTTGTGTATGTTTCGATGCGCCTGCTAATATGCACATACTCTACACTCACCAACTAGCGTGACGATATTCATTCAATACGATGACTACACTTGCCCCGTAAAGTCCCTTTATATTGATACAAATAATTGTGTGATATTGTTACTCGTAACAATATCACACCAGCGCTGCCCTGACTTGCGTTTTAAGCCCAGTTTTGCAGACAGTGTATGTTGCTGTAGCACATTCCATATGGTGCCTGACCTCTCTTTTTTATTATTATCATTTTACTGATGCGACCACCTCGAGTGCTTCATCAGATAGTGACTGAAAATGGGGTGCGTGCTATAGAAACTGGAGCAGCGTTCGGTGGCCGAGAAGGAAAGGCCAAGATTCGTTGTTTTGTGACGTCATGATATGACGCCGTACTTACGTCATAGATTGCCGATATTTGCCAGGTTAAAGGCAGAAGGATTAAAAGGTCGTCAGTGGGGTGGGAGGATCATTAAAATCTGCTGAGAAGAAACAAAAGAATGTTTCAGTAAGCGTTCTATGAAGGGTGAGAAAAAAACATTAATGGAAGCATTCAATTGAAGGGGCTTGCAAAGTGAAAGGGCTTTTTCTTTCGAGTCTATTAGGAACAATCTATTAGGAACATACGGGTCTGTTAGGAACATACGACATTACTGTCAACGAATTTTATTCATACTCTTAACCCACTTCACCGAGCAGACAGGGCTCAAGGCCATCCACAGCTCGAAGGCCGGCCACCCCCTATTAGAATGTACCCCTCATCTCGCATTTCCAATTCAGATACTCTGAACAGGTGGCGCCGTCTTGCTTTGGGCTCGCAGATCGCTCGCTGAGAGATGTTCGTAATCTCACACTGGATGGCACTGTGAGCGCTCCCAGCCTTCGTTGCGCTGGCTTTTAAGTAGAATTTCAAGGGACTAACGCCTTCGCTTTGCCAGTGTGCATGGGCGTCGGCATGGGAATACAGAAGGGGAAATTCCACCCCTCAATCAAAAGCAGCACTTGCCCTCGCCCATTCTGCACCCGCGCTCACCCTCTCTCGCTGCTGCGATGCAACACGGGTTCGCAACACCCAGGACCAAATCCTGCCGAGACTAATGCCAGATTGCGTCACATTAACCGTACGTTGGACTTTCCTCTGGCACATAAAAAGCGAAATATAAAAAAATTTAAGGAGGACTGGATGATTGTTTATCTGATATGATTTCATGTGAAATTCGGTGAGAACGAACGCCCCGAGAACGCGACTTGCCTGCATGCACAGGTTACTACCATGCCTGAAATTCACAAAAGCATCTCCACATTTGACACCATTTGTAGACAGCGTGCCTTCTATTGTAGCATAATTTACACTGAATGGCAGAATTCTATATGAATGGCGTAGATTCAGAAAGTGTCCTTACAGGGGCTAAAACGAGAAGTGTAAATTTAAGCTCTCGTTTTCTTGGTTACAAGGTTACCTATTCTAAACGAAAAGGAATTGATGGTTGACATTCAACACATTTTTTACTGTGTCATTATTATAAGTTATAGCTCTATGTTTTCAGCGGTGTATCTGATTAATTGCGTTGCATAAACGAACTAAAAAATGGAGGTTGGGGTTAAGAAGGAAGGGGCCCACGGCATTGCGCAATCGTCAACGTAGATCTGAATGACTCTTTCTGTCACAGGCGTCAAGTAAGACTCTTATAAAATATTATGGACACATGCAAATTTAGAAAACGAGACAGAACGAGTAAATCTTAAGAGCGTTGCTTGTCCTGTCCCGTTTCCAAAACTCGTATGTAGTGTTAACCAGTTCTATGGAGATCCTCATGAACTCGCCCAAGGCCAAACACTTACGAGTGCCTCATTACTTTCTCTCTAACAAGGTGCGCTGACCCCCTCCCCTTCCGAAACCGGTCAGTACCTCCGGACCCTCTCAACAAAGTGTGGCATCTGGGTCGCATTCCCCTTCCCCTCTGCCCCATTGTGTGAATGTGAAACCTGCCTGGACATATGATTCTAAACCTCGAGGCATAGTCTCTGGATATACACCTTATCGCTGGAGCAACACGGCGAAGAAGACGAAGTGGCATTCCTTTGTACGCCTCAACTCCTTTCGCTGTCAACCGGAAACCTGAAGGGTGAGGGTCTGTCAATCGACTTACGACTGAGACAAACGTCGCACTGTCCTTCTGTGCCTGAGCAAACTGGTGTCGCTGGGTATCCAGGGCAAAGGTGCGTAATAAATCCACTGATTCCCCGTTGGCCGCCTTTCCGCGTGCGCTGCTTAAATCTAAACGACGCTATTACCTATGGATGATACTCAGAGTTAAAAATGAGGAAGGGATGTTTTTTGCTTTCGCCTCGGCGTTTGCCTCGTCAGTATACATTTATGCGAAGTGGCTCCGTATTTCCCCGTTCGTTGTTTACAAAGGCGGTCACAGCCAGGACAATGATGAAGGCCTCTGAGCGTGTCGAAATGTGTTGTCTGACTACATTACGCGGCCTTGCCTCACCGCTCATCAAGGTGTGCATTGGACAATGTGAGAGAAGGGAGCGCAGCTCCTCAGGTCCTAAGGATATAAATAGCTCGTTTGGCGGCCAAGCAGTTGGTTCTTCACGTTTGGCTTTATGAATTGCCTTAACACAAGTCACAACCACTCTATCGATAACAGATTGTCGTGAGGGGTCGCAAATGAGCTCATCCATATATATTTTTGTTATTTTAAATTATTCTTCAGTTGAGCAAGCATTTCGTGAAAGGAAGTCGTAAGAGAAGACTCTCTCGCCCTTAATAAGCCGTCTCGCGCAAATCTTGGACACATGAAAGGCGCAGCCCACCGCGCCATGCCAGTCGGCAAGCGGGCTTCTGGGGGTGGGATCGCAGAAACAAAGGTGTCTCCTGAGCAGCAGCCTTTAACTCCTAACGTGTTTCGTGTGTCAGTACGACCATAATGAACCACATCTCGTCCGCTTCATTTTATTAACCATCTGCCTGCATATTTCAGGTGAGTTTGTAATGATGCGTAAATACCTCTTCACCAATTAGTGTTGTTACGCCAGTCGATTACTTTTTTTTTCGGGGTATTAAAATTACTGGCTGTTTATGCACGTACTCAACATATCATTTGGATATATCTTTATGCACCACCTTAAATATTTTTTAAGCGAGATAACCACCATGTCATGGTTGTTTCTTTGACACGTGCATGGTCATCAATTGGTATTTGATGGTCGCCAATTCTAGATGTTATCGTAGCTTGAAAAGAGCAGCTTGCATATATATTCTTTGAGGAGGCGAGGAATTGTACAACTAACCCCCGTATTTACAAACGCTCCTCGACTCGACTTTCACCCTTCACTTGACAGAGTTGAGCAGTGCGCCACCGCTCGGCTGAAAATTACGCCGCGCTACTCAAGAATCACATCAGATTATCGCTGATATGCAGTGACTTGCCGTTCTAAGAGATGACGCTCCCGCCGGCTTTCTCAAGTGAAGGTGAAGCGTTGAGTGAAGGGAGCTTCTATAATATGGGGGTTAGAACTTCTGGTGACAGTCATTCGCCGGATATATATTGCTCATATAAACTAAGTCATCAGGCCGTGCGTTTGCGTCAAAGAATGTAATATCGTCCCAAGGGCTACGGTTTCCTGACACATGAACTACCCCAAGGATCTTACAACATTCAAGTATGTGGTATTTCCTTTCATTGTCGTCTGAACAAATTGCCCTCTTTTCATCAAGTACGCCCAGATTTATCTTCGTTATCGTCTGTTTTTTTTTTATTTCCTTCTGCTGGAATCACGCTCATCCGAAGCTTCTGAATATCGACTCGTTCAATAGGCATCGTTCAGTCTCCCCGGGTGCGTGCGCAAACATTTCAAAATGGCACGTTCCCTATGCCAGAAATACACCAATTTGTGGACATTCAAAGGTGTCCTAAAGATATAAATTTAACTTAGTTGATTATAATCAAGTAAGGTATACTCGTTGTCTGAGCAATTAGTTTGGTTTTATTGCAGCGTTCTTTCCGATGAGGTCATAGCGACAAGTGTCTATTTACCACTGCCGAAGCAACCTACACGAATTGTCGTTGACACATGCATGGTTACTTTTTGCGCCATGAAAATATCTACTTAGGTATGTGCTACTTAAGTATAGAGGGGCCCTAAAGAGATAAACAATTTTTGACGAGTGTAACTCAAGATTTCACAATGCCAAAAACAGGAACACCTCTATAATCACTAGGCAATGCTTAGTAAGTGAGATAGCACACGTAAAAAAATCTGGGTTGCGGCGCCACTTTGAAATTTGCCGCACCCAATGGCGTAATGCCATATATCTTGACGACGTCTTTTACGTTCTACATCGTCCCTGATAGATGAAAATGAAGCACATCATCTTTAAATAAGGTTATATATACACTTCAAATACCAAGTTTCAGAAAATTTTGTTGATCCAATATTGTCAAAATACAAACGTACGCTTACAGGTTCGTAGCGTCACTCGCACAGATATAGGCGCGAAATTTTAAAAAAATGATACTTTGACCTATATTTTCTTCGCTATAAAAAACATATGAAGGCCAAACTAACAATGCCAGAGTTTTCCGAGCAAACTTTAGCAATGTAAACTGTTTCATTGTTTCACTTTAATCTTTCGTTCAGTTCATAATTTCTCGTATTTCACAAGTTGTTCAATCTTTTCATTGCAGAAAATGCTATCAGTTGCGTGGTCATTCGTTTTCCTGTGCTTGTTGGGTGCGAGCTGCCAACGAGACTCGGACACCACTGTTCCCACAACCACTGGACGTGTGAGAGGCACTCTTGTCCCGACGACAGCCGGACCTGTGCGCGCCTTCCTGGGAGTGCCCTTTGCAGAGCCTCCAGTTGGTGCTGCCCGTTTCAAGAAGCCCCAACCGAAGGAGCCCTGGGAGGGAGTACTCCATGCCACGTTAAATCCACCTATGTGCCCCCAGCAGCCTATACAATTCAATAACTACTACTCTGTGAAGAAAAGCGATGAAATTTCAGAGGACTGCCTTTTCCTTAACGTTTTCACTCCTATGACGCGCGGGAAGTCACTGAAACCAGTTGTCGTTTATATCCACGGAGGCTTCTTCAACTATGGTGGAGTTTCCATGAAGCTCTACGATGCCTCAGAACTATCAGCCAGACAGGACCTCGTTGTTGTTACCATCGCGTACAGGCTTGGCGCGTTTGGATTTCTCAACGTGGGTACTGAAGATGCACCAGGTAACATGGGGCTTCATGATCAGATCCTCGCACTAAGCTGGATAAAAAGCAACGCGGAGGCCTTTGGCGGAGATCCTGACCTCATCACTCTCGTTGGCCAAAGCGCAGGAGCTTTCTCCGTTGGCATTCACTTGACATCTCCCAAAAGCAGAGGCCTCTTTAAGCGCGCAATCATGCAGAGTGGGAGCCCCTTCACGACCACAATGATGAACAGCAAGGACGATGCGGCCTACGGCGCGGGTGAGCTGGCCAGGGCTTTGCACTGTCCTATGCCAATGATGATGATGCAAGGTGGTGGTGCCAATGCAATGCTCAAGTGCCTACGCTCCAAGGATGTTGATTCCATACTTAACGCTACGGCAAGCTTCACCATCCAAGGTCTGGATGGCTTCTTCCCCGTGATAGGCGACGAAGTCATACCCGTGAAACCTTCGGTTGCTTTGAGAAGCGGAAGGCTTAACGCTCGCGAGCTACTGGCAGGCATATCGGAACACGAAGGGGACGGCCTCATCCACTTTATGGCGAAGAAATTCTACGACACCAAAGATGCCGATGAAGTCAGGAAAGACTCGATGATTTTCGTGGCTAGAGGTGCAATGCTAACCTTTTTAGGAGTCGATTCAAAGCGAGCAATAGATCGCTACTTCAGTGGTTCGCAATCGCAAGGTGGTACGAACGCTCTCCACGCAGCGGCGGATCTCATCGGAGACAGTCAGCTCGGATGTCCAACAGTGGGCTTCGCCAAGAGATTCGTAAACCCCGACACGAGGGTTTTCGTGTACAAGCTTTCGCAGCAACCATCCAGGATAAACTGGCCAAAGTGGGTTCGGCCGACGCACACAGACGAAATAGCCTTCGCTTTAGGATCCATTTTCAAGCTGGATCCACAGATCTCGCTGAGCGATGTCAGAGCAGCCGATAACTTCATGCACATCGTTTCAACATTCAGTCGCACAGGGTGAGTGAACAGATTTATGCGACCGTCTGTGTGCTTAATGTGCTCCTCTAAGTGTGCGCTTGATTTTTGTCCCTTTTTCTTTTTCTTCTACCTCTATTTTGACACCTTCTACCTCTATTTTGACACCTTCTACCTGTATTTTGACACACGTCCGGTTTGAGAACCGGACGTGTCTTTTTCACCTATCTACGTCTCGTTGCTTTTTCCTCTCTCTCTTCGGCACTGGTCTTCGTACCTTTACCAAGGCTTTGAAGGTTGTCTGTTTTGGTTACGCACATGTTTGTTTACGTACAGCCCTAAAACACCAGCCCACAAGATATTAACCCCCGTGTCGAGGACATGTGGTGATTTTATGCAAGGTCATGAACGTACATTGTGCTCTTCTAACCTTGGAGCTCTAATGATTGCTTCATGCATGTATTGGTGTTGCTAGTAACTGTGAGAGCAATAACGCCTCAACGCGAACATTGGCAATGCGCTTTCACATATGATTCCCGGGCGACTGACAAAACAAAATTTTCTCGAGCATTACACATGAATCCACACCAGCCGTTCATTGCTGTCGTGTGTTGTTTTTTTTTTCATTTAGAGTTGAATTGTTGCTCATAATTAATCATCCCAGGCTTGTACCATGTTTCTCTTCTGTATAAATTCTGTGTTTTCTAAGGATTGGTTATTAATGGCCATATTCATGCCCCTACACATGCCACAGGATTGATTGGAAGCAGTATACCAACACTCATCAGCTGGCTTAGTGCATACAACAAATCATTGTGATTTCATTGCGTGTAAGTATCTTTTTTATATATATTTTGCAGAGTTCCACGTGTCACAGACAAGACTTCATGGCCGAAATTCGATCAGCAGCAGCGATACATGAACATCGAGAAGCAAGGAAACTTTCCTGGAAAGAACCTCCTTTATTCTACGTGCGATATGTGGGAAAGAGTTCGTCCTTATGAATGAGTGGGCACAGCATTCGCTCGCTTTTAGGTAATTCACTTTACTCATAATTAAATATATAAGGACCTTACTCATATTTGTTAAGGCGCGACACCTAACGCTGCTGTCTAGTGTTTGGATGCCGTATCGGACGCCGCTCACTTTATATGTGTTATCATTCTAGAACATTATAATCGGCGTTAAGACCCACGCGAGCCACATGCGAGTTACGTCATCTGTCAGCCTCTATTTGTCGGAACGCGTAATAAACATTTTGTTCTGTTTTGGCGGAATCTTCGCACCACTTAAGTTAAAGCCAGTCATTCCTGTTCTGTGATCGAGCCGTTTTCAGCATTCGTGAGTGCGCAGCTGGCGCAGGCGACGAATCAATCTTTACCAGTTGTACCGTGCACGCTATACGAGGACGGCACCGATGTCGTGGCCTCTATCGTCGGTGTGCAGATAGGTATGCAGGGGCATGCTCACCGAACTGACAGAGCACTGTGTTAGAGTTATTGTATATTGTTCCGACCGGGGTTTGCAGCCATCGGAGGTCCGGGATGAAGTGGTGGAGGCAGGAGGAAGAGAGACTTGAAGAGGGTTTATTTACATTATGTACACGGTGAACTCACGTACATGACGAGCTCTTTCTTACATGGTGAGCTTTCGAATCTGGCGTTCCTCTACACGGCGCTCCTTCGAATGAGCCGGGTGGCTCATTATAAAGGGCATGTGCTCCCCAGATCCCTAGATCAGGGAACACATGCAGATGGTACTGTCCAATCACAGATCACACACAGCTGGCGAGGGGAACAAGCATGTACGGCCCACGTGAACGTCCAATATTGAGGCGTGACTCTACAGTCTAAATGGCGATAGCGAGGCTCTTCCTCGTCGTGTGTGTGCCGCCAGTCAAGGGGTCCCAAGCTCATGACAGCATACTTCAAAGGGTCCGCCGAACTGATCGCTTAATTAGCAGGGCGATTTGCGGTGGCCGCCGTGGTCTCTTCCAAGGAAGATGCTGTACTTGTTGTCCTCTCTCGAACGGCTTACGGCGTCGTAGCGACACGACGTCTCACCCTCCGGCTAGGAGGGACAATGTCTGGCGGTCATAGGCAGCCGGCCGGTCGGCTACTTGTTTGAGGATCCAAAGAGCGCCGCTCCCTCGTCAGCTCTGGCGCCAGCCACAACAATATGCTCGCCACGAGAGAAGAGTTGCACCTTTATGTTCAACCGCTGCGCAGTGAAGCCACTCGTCGTGCGCGCAGGAAACAAACACGGTGCGATGTTCCGGCATGGGCGACATGCCGCAGACATATTCGCGCACGGTCAGCAAGGTTGCACTTGTCGCGTGATTACGTGCTGGGACAGCGACGACGATGAGGTCAGTGGAAGCGCAAGCAGTGCGAGCGCTTTGACTTCGAAATAAATTAGTTGGTTTTGGTAACACACGTAGCAGCAGTTTTTCCTCTGCCTCTCCGATACACAGCCTACAGTGAAACTGTATATTCAATAGGGTCTCACGCGTACAACAAGAGTTTTAGAGTGCTTGGCCGATCCCGGGGTCAGCGCGGGGCGTGGAGCAGTTTGTTATAGGCGCAACAGTATATCGATTCAGTGAATCAAGTAAGAATAATAGTGAATATTAAGAGCATTACATCATTACATGTAAAGGAGTCAATTTAACATGAATCAGGTTACTGAAACAAGATAAGTTGATTGAAAAGTGTCTTACGTGAACCCGAAAGTGAAGCTGTATAAGGCTGGGCTCTGACGGAAAGTGCGTCTCGCGCATGCTGAGGGGTTATCAACGGAGAAAACATGCAGGCAAAATTTTAGCGTCTTCACCAAGCCCCGCCTTCGCTCAGCCGGTGGTACTCTGGTAATTCAAAGCTGGGGCGTTAGCGATACCTCGCGCTCTCTTAATCACATGTTGATGCATATTCCGCTTTCCCTTAAATACAGTTTCCCTCGCGGTAATGGCACCTAGTACGCTTACCGGTTTCGTAAGATACATACTCATTCCTATGCTGAATAACGCACTCACTTTCCAGCGACTCACTTGCACCTTCTTTCCTCTTACTAACCCATTTGCATACGTTAGAAAGTTTAGAAGGCGAGGAAAACACAACGTTTACAATCTAATTGTTCCCGATAATTGCTTTCATAACAATTGGAAAGGCCGTGAACATACGAAACAATGGTGAACTGATCCATCTCTTGCGACTATTTACTAGGTTTCTGTTATGTGGCTTCTTTTTCTTTTACCACGTGGACCGGTTTACCACAAACTGTGTCCGTCAAGTGGCTGGTATACCAGTGTTTCTTACTTAGCCTTTCCACCTGCTCTTCGAAGTCTTGCATCATTTTGCGGGCGCAGGATTTCTCAAGCGCTGCTCGCAAAGCATTCAAAGTGATTTCCATTTTGTTCATCTTCGAGTGGTTGGGTGCATAATTAACCAGCTGTTTTCGGGCTGTTTGGTTAGATTAGTAGCCAAACACTGTTGTGAAATTGAACTGTAAACCTTAGGCTACGACTATATATATGCGTGCTGAACTTGTCCAAAAACACACTTATTCGTTCTTTTATGCCCAGTTATTAGTGAGCGCATGTTTGTATTGTTTTTTTCTTCGTGTCTGTTCCCACCACGCACTTCGACCAAAGTGGAAAGCTTCGTTGGCCACGCAACCTAACTGAATCGAATGGCTCCTCGTTTTATTTTTTTCATAATAGTGCAACAAACTGGCTTGTTCAGTGCTGGCGAAAAGAGAATAATAAATATTATTATTGGCCTTTAACGCCCCAAAACCACGATACGATTGAGAGACGCTCTAGGGAAGCGGGGCCACTGAACCTGTTAGAATAATGCAGGCTTAATCAAGTCGCCTTCACCCCGATTCCCACTGCCTTTGTCTTTGTCCATGCTTTTGTGAGGCGAATACTCTGCCATAACATGTAGAAGATAAAGATGGAAAGAAGACTGTAAAAGGCGGGGAGGTTATCCAGAAAAGCCCACGCTGGTGGAATGGGGAAGGGGGATAGCTGATAAAAAAGAGAGAGAACAAAAAACATGAACAGCGATTTCGCTGATGAGCAGCTTCGTAATCGCCATACGTTGTGATAAAAAGTATAAAATGAGATCGTTACAGTGACAAAACGTTCACAAGACGAAATCTATGTGCAGAAGTGTTCATAAGGACCGTGCGCTGATGGCTTAGATCATAAAAAATGGTAAACATAAAACTTGTCACGTATTGTTGTTAGTCAACGCTGGTCCCATCAACCTCTTTATTCTTGTGTTCTGTTCCTAGGCGTAGTTCTTCGTTCACCAAGTGATTATATATCGGGAAGACTTCAGCAGTGTTGGTTTAAATGTTGCTGAAAGTCATAGCAGAATAATTCCCACGCCCATACTATACCAACAAAATTTATTTATTTATTTATTTATTTATTTATTTATTTATTTATCTGAAGAATTACACATGACGCTAGCATGGACTATTAACAAATACGGGTGCAAGTGGAAAGAGGAAGTCGACGCGCAGTCGATGGCCATGTCGCCGACCCTGTGTGCGCCCTTGACGGGCGCCTGGCGAGACGGGTGATCAGCGCGCACTATGTTTTGTCTGCGGCGAAGGCTGTGCGCGTGCAGGCCGAAAAACCGCTTACTGAAGACTAATGCACGTGCCTACATTCTGAGGACAACACGCTCTGAGTACTTGACCTGCCCACCCTGCAAAGTATGCTGAGCAATGGAGTTTTCTTGATGTAGCCGCAATGGGGCTCTATAGCAAATGTTGAGATTGGTAAATGTGAGGACATTGCTTGCATATAGTTTCTAGCATATAATATTTTTAGCGTGTGTGTGTGTGTGTGTGTGTGTGTGTGTGTGTGTGTGTGTGTGTGTGTGTGTGTGTGTGTGTGTGTGTGTGTGTGTGTGTGTGTGTGTGTTTGCTTACTCAGCTCTTATTCTTCCTACACTATATCCTGTTCGTTTCTTTCGCACAGGTTTACGTACAATTTCAGCAACCAGCAATCTCACGTCATTGCTACTTTTTTTTTTATCTGCCCATACGCATAGTATTTTTTTTAATCAAAGATACACATGAAAGTTTTCTTCGTGTATAAATTCAAGTAACTACTTGCTGGTCTTAAAGATACAAAATATTCTAGCACACGTTCTTAAACAAACGATCCTCAGCCCTGTCACTAGCGACCTGGCTCACAAAACTTGTGACTGCCCTCGGGCATCTTTTTTTCAGTTCTCACAAACACGTGAGCCCTTCGTATGACACCCACTTAGACAAAACAATATAGTCATATTCCGATCGACGTTGTGTAAACACATAGTGGAAAACTTCGAAATAATTCTGACCATGTTCCCTGCTTTCACGCTCTCCTACATTTAAGAGCTTGAACGATTTTGCATTTAACCTTCATCCCAATGCGGCGCTAAAGTGGCGAAAGAATCCTTGACCTTAAACTCGGCCGCCATACTTGATAAGTACTGATTGTGGCACTTTTGGGTTAGTATTTCTGTACCATTACATGCGATGTATCACCATGATGTGTTTTTTTTTTCTTGCGAGGGATACTCGAACTGTGCTGCTTAGGCTTCCGCAATCATTCACACTATTGACTATAACGTTAGTTTTTTTTTTTTTTATCACATCTCTTTTCCTTGTTTATAGACCAGGAAAAGAGACGCTGATCTACTTTTTTTTTCAAACAAACGCTCATGTTCGTGAAACGTCAATAGCGGTTGCAGTGCTGCTTACCCAATGTTATAAATATTACACACGTACTCCTGTGATATATCCATCACGTCGGGTTGACATCAATTGTGGTTAGTTGCCATGCGCTGAGGTTTATTCATGTAGCAGTGTCCAGGGCGAGCATCCTTGCGAGAATCAGCGTTTCATTTGAGCTTCTGAAGTTGCTAATACGAATGTTCCATTTCACATCGTTGCACAAGTGCAAACAACTGTCTATATAAGCATATATACAACTCAACAACATATGTCTGTGCGTGCAACGTTTGTACATATAA